TGATTGGACGAACGATGTATTTTCACAGTCGCTCGCCTCCAATCTTTGAAATGTGTCGGTCAGTAAGAAAAATTTTCAGTATGTACGGAATAAAAACGTGATACCATGGAAAGTGCTTGAACAATTTTTATTCACTCGTTGCGATGCATCAAAAAACTCACTCGTTCGCTACGCTTACTCGTCCGATTTTTTCGGTTGCATCGCAATTCGTTGGGTAACCGGTCGTTTCGCCAAGGTGTCAGTTCGCCAACGACCAGTTCCCCAACGTATTAGATCGATTCGCCAACGTCTAAGGTAAGTTCGCCAACGCTTATATGTCAGTTCGCCAACGATGCATCAAAATGGGGGGAGGGGGGGTCCTTGAGAACGATAGATTCCTGCCGCTTTAACGGCCGTCTTGAAAATAACACTACCACAATGCAATGCAATCGGAGTGCGCACACCGCCTGGTCAGGGCCATTCTCGTTTTGTGTCTGATTGCGATATATAGAGAAGAAGGTCACAAAGAACCGGAAATTGTCAGTGACGCCTGTCACGAAAACAAAAGGAAGTGAGACAGACAAAAGATCGTATTGATGACGCGGTCATTTTCAAGTAATAACCAATGAAAGAGTTGCCAGTAATGGCATCTTGTTTCTACGCAAAGATTTCTGGGATCGCCATATGGCAAACATTGCAACTTGCTGGAAGGAAACGCATGGTTGTTTCGACGTCCAAAAAAAACGAGTTTGTACAGAGATCGACGCTCTTTTGCTGCATTTTTATGGATTAAACTATTGTTGATACGAGGTAAGTGTAATTTTTTGTTTGAATTACCGAAATATGTCATGAAATATACCGATGAACCTCTCTCCTTGCCTAAGGTATATTGTGAAGCGCGACTGAATATATTCATATAGAGGTTTGCGCTATATAAATGTCAGTTATTAAATTATGTATCATAATAACATTTACTACTCAAGCACACCATTTCAAACTTCTGCTGCTTCGCTGTAACTGTTATAGCACTCTTGTATTACCAGACCGAGAAAAAAAACAAGAGGTAGATTAAACACACGTAAATAGGACTGAAAAGGCTTTTTTAATTTATTTCTATTTCTAAATTTCGAGACCATTGAAGGATAAACCTTACGCATGGAGAAAAGTTAATCGGTAGATTTTACCACGTAATATTTCATGGTTATTCACAATAAAACTTACGCTTCTCATGTATTAATATTACCCAAATCCATTTGTGATAAAACAGCGGGGAAACGGCGATTTTGGACGACGAAACAACCTTTTCTTTTGGGGGTTAGGGCGGGACTGTACACACGGGATAAATATCATAAAGCTTTGTATTGGAGTTTAAGCTCAGCTCTGTAACTCCGTAAATAATAAAGCAAATTAACTATTGCAGAAAGTGCAGCTTTGAATGTGATTGGTTGACTTAAACTACAACCACCTCAGTTAAGTAACCACCTCTCATGAAACTGAAATTCCAAGTCAAAACACTCTAAATGGAACCTCTCGTAT